ATAGAGTTTACTGTTGTCTGAATTTGTTTTTTATTTATAATTTTATCTATAATGGACGGATTGTAGCCGTTGTCGAGTGCAATTTGTTTAATGATATTAAGTTATTTGTATGTAATTTTCTGAGGCGTATTAAGAAGTTTGTGTATAAAAGAGCTAAATGCAGCCATTTTGTGTACATAAGGCTGATTTGAGCTGTCATGTATGACTGTGTCCGTGTGTGAAGATTTATGATAAATGAAAAAATCTAATTTGTTTGCGTTTTCGTAATTGTTAAGTTTAAAAAATTAATAGAGTTATCCTGTTCAATCTCGATAGCGAATTTTATACGATTATGTATTGAGTTAATGTAATTTAAAAAAGAATTCAATTGTCTGTCCGTTCCAACAAAGCAAACAAAGACATCATCCACGTATCCATACCACCATAGAAAACTTTGACTTAAGTAAATTAAAATAAGTAAAATAACTCTATATATTTTTTAGACTTTACTGTTACGAAAACGCAAAACAAATTAGATTTTCCCATTTATAAAACACAGTGTGAATACCTAAATATCAAAAGTAAATTCTTAAAGTTAGGCTTTGAGACAATTAAAAACAGTGCTAAAAATCGAACAGCTGATTCAGGTTGATTTTGCCAATGTTGACGCAAGGCTACGATTATGGTGTCCGTTTCTGGGGTTGGTAAACCCTCGCTCCAGATGCTTTTATTGCTCAAAAACGTGTATATGTCCTCTTGCTGGTAAACCTATTCTTTTCTCCATGAAATCTGTTGGCTTTGCGTTCTTCTCGAAATGTACGGAACTTACTTTTTAATAACTTGCCAAATAACATAAAGACGCGCTAATCACACACGGACACAGTCATACATATGAGCTCAAATCACCCTTATACACACAAAATGGCTGCATTTACCTCTTTTATACACAGACTTCTTAATACGCCATTCTCAACATAAAAGTGAAAAAGTTTCAAAACATTTGTCAAAATGTGGTTTAAGAACTAACAACGCAATAGATAGGTAGATCCTTCAAGAAAGTATTAACGAACATAAATGAGCGTTTAAAAACAATATTCTAGATTCTAATTATGATACACACTTAAACACAGAACACATTTTTGATGACAATTTTGATATTTTACATAAAAGGTAAAAAATTAAATTTATTGGAAGCCATTTATTGAACTGAAATTCTCACAACAACTTTAATTAAGGTTTTATGCTCATTTTTCGGTATATATAGTAGCAGGTAGTTTGTAAACATTACATTTGATAAAGACACGGTGTTGTCCAAATAATTGTCATGTCAATATTACATTATGCAACAAGTGCGGTAAATGGCATTTGACTCACGAGTTTATTTGACACGAGCTAAGCGAGTGTTTAATAAACGAGTGAGTCAAAAAGTTGACCGAACGTGTTGCATACTATACTTTTTCTACGACCGTTAGTTTTTGGGTACATTTTCGCAAAACACGAATACATTCACTGACATGACTGTCAGAATTGACAAACGTCAAAATTCAAAGCTTGGAAAATATCTCCGAAAACATCCGATTGCTCTCAAACCCGTGCGGTAAAATCCCGGAAATGTCCGAAGTGCCTCGGATTCGTGGGAAACGCAACTGACGTGGTAAAGCGACGCTTCCCGCACGCTAGATCGGTGCGAGATTATGTATTTTGGAGACGGGAGTGGAAAAAATATATAATTTCGGGAAAATCTGAACTTTTAGTTCTTATTTTTTTTTTCATTATTACCAAAACCATTGGTCACTTCATGTAAGGTGTTAAATAAAATACTTTAAAGTTATTGCAACATATTTTTTTTAGCGAACCCCTAAACGGGCCTAGATATTTATACCTTTTGCAGAATCATTTACCTCAATTTCTTCAAGAAGTTGATGACATTGAGATCCAACAAATGCGGTTTCAGCAAAATGGAGCTCCTCCGAATTACCATAAATAAATTTTAAGTAATCGTTACCCACAGAAATACACTTGTAACTTAATTAACTTGTAATAATTAAAAATAAGATAGATTCATTTCTAGTGATAGGTATTGCTAATTACTATGTTGCTTGATCTACGGCTTCTTTTTCCTGTTGATTTTTTAATCTTAATAGTTAGTTTTATCATGGACAACTAATATTATAGCAATAGTCTTAGACATAGAGAAAATTGCATTAAAAAAAATGTATGTTTTATTCGTTGCGTTTTTTTGAGGCACGCTGTAAACTTTAAAATACTTTACAACTTTTTTATTTCCAATTTTCTTATAACTATTGAAACCAATGAGATATTGAACTTTACTCTATTGTTGACTCACAATTTGAATTATAGGAACCTCAAAACCCACTAATTTTAAAGTCCAAACTTAAATGACACTTCTGGAATTCTCTGCGCCTCGAAAAATGAGGCGGAAGTAGATGGACACAAGGTAGAAAACGAATTCTGTGCGGCACTGCCGAAATCGCTTCTCACTTCCTCAGGTGCGAGATCAAAGGAAAGTTGGCGGAACCGATTGAATCAAATCTTATATAATTTGCGCGGTTTTTATGGCGAAACGATCAAGGTGAGTCCGTTTTTTCCGACCCGAGCGATTTTCACGCGGTTTTACGATATTTATATATTTAAAATCGCTTGAATAATGCAACAGTTTCCGTCAAAGTGATGCCGTGAGCGATACCTTCGCACGGAATACCCGCTTACAATGATTCCGGGTTTATCGTTATCACATTGGTAAACACCATACGTTCGGATTCGCGTGTCCAATGCGACGCGGCCATTTTTTCCGATTTGCTTCGAGGATTCACGTCGCGGGTTCGAAAAAAAAAACATGGTGCTGTTATTTTGGTTTATATTTTGGTTACTGGTCGTGTTCCTGATGTACGTCTACATCCAGTGGCGGCTCAAGGCTGTTGGCAGACATGCTCCTTACTTTAGGATTACTAGATTCGCGGTGTTGCGTAAGTGAAGGTTCTTCAGTGAACTCCTTCTAGTCAGCTGGAGAGCTAACTTGTTCTCTTGGCCATACTCGTTGAACGAATGACATATGCCTGCTGATAAACTCCAGGAAGGGCAGCTATGCAGTTACGTCACATATAGCAACGTAATCAAAAATTGCTAAAGTCTGTTCATAGATATAAGAAAGTGACTAACTGATACGAATTAAGGAAAGGCCCGGGCAAGCTGTAAGAATGAAATATGGCCGAACAGGTCCGTACTTTGCTTAGAATTTAAGTATTGGGAGTTTTGTTAGTAAAGATACTAAACAATATTTATTTATTTATGTATGTATTTATGTTTAAATCTAAAATTACAAATTATTTTTATTACCTACTTAAATTACTTAAAATTATTCACATAATATATCAGTATCACTATCGCTATCATCGCCTGTTGTAATTATTATTTGTTCTATCTTATTTGCAATATGGATATACGATTGTTCTGCTTTTTCTATATGTTTAACAGAATTTGCCCAAATTTGTGGAGGGATGTTAAAAACTTCGGTTTCTATAAGTTTTGGGGACATTGGAGTTAACACGGGGAAAAACATTGTTACGACGAATGGCAGATTTCAGTTGGTGCCAAACATGTTCAATGGGATTAAATATACAGCGGTAAGGTGGAAGCCTTAAAACTGTATACCCTATATTTTTTGCATATTTATCACAAATGTATTCTTTTTGTAGGTTCAAGCCTTGTAGAACCTCAATAAATGTCATTATTGTACATATAGTTCGGGATTGTTGCTTTTGTGTCACATGAGGAAAGGGTTTTAGTCAACTGTCTACTGTGAAAACTTACATTGTCCATTACATTGACGCTATTAGGAGGAATGTTTGGAACTAGTTTGTTTTTTAACCAACTTTCAAATAAATCAACGGTGGTGTCTTCATGGTAATCCAGAGAAGAATCTTTAATATTTTTCGCAGACAGTGAAAGTCCATTTGGAATGCAAACATCTATAGAGCCAGCATGCAAAATAGTTATTCTTTTACCTCTTTTTGATGGTACGTTTGTTTTACACTTATCAGTTGAGTCAACTCAACCCTTTTCCGGGGTATGATAAGTGTCGAACCAGGTTTCTTCCAAGTAAATAATTGGCCTTTGTTGGTCTCTGTAAATCCAATTTTTTTCTAGATATTCCAGTGGCCATTTCCGAATTCTAAAAGACTCCATTAAAACTTGCCTTTTGTCATTTTTTTTTAAATCTAAAACCCATGTGTTGAATACACTTCCATAAGGTAGTTTTGCCACATTTAACACCGGTTTCATCTTTTTCAAGCCCCCGAATTAAGATGTCTAATGTAGGCACGCTTTGTTCCTCGTATAACTGGTAAATTTTACGCCGATCACTTTCATCTACACACAATTTTCCATACAGTTGATGTTGGAATTTTCGTCAATGTGGCCGTTTCTTCTAAAGATGCTTGCTTGCTGGCACCACGTTCAATGAGAGTCAAATAAACATTATTTGTAACTTCCTTAGTCTCAATAGGATAGTGTTTTCTACATTTGGGCGGGAGCATCTCCTGAGATACACTAAAGTCGCACATATTTTGCATAATTCGCACACGATTCAACACACGCTGTATTACACACGAAATGAGAATGATTACTAATAAACTTAAACTAAGCAGTATATCAAACCAAAGAATATTAAACACAGGTAGGTATAAAATTATTTTCTATTACGAATCAAAATTTTACCTGAATTTAAATTCCGAAACTTTAGGTAATAATGTAACCACCCTTGGATAATCCCATTCAAAAGCAATTGGTCACTTTCTTATATCTATGAATAGACCATACAACCTATTAAACACTCAATAGTCGATTTATAAATTACGCAAAGGTTTCGTTAAAATCCCAATTACGTAACTAACCAATGAACATATTAGCGCCTTGACATTCTAAAGAATAATGTCGACTGAATTTACACCGAAAATGCCTAGGGTAAATGAACCAACTCGAGTCGCAGGTAGTTCCGCGGCGATAACCGTTTGCGTTCCCCGTGTTTACTTCGCGATCCCCATTAGCGATCGCAAATGTGAGACGGAAACCGCGAAAGTCGTTAAAGGAAAAGAAGAACAATAATTTTCGAAAATACTCGAAGGACGACGCGATCTCCGCGTTATCGCTAATCTCGAAACCGGTACGACTATTAGGAACGATTTAAACTGATAAGTTTTATTTATCTGGTTTCGTAAATTTCGGTAAACCGCGTTTAGTATCGAACGTAAATCGCCTTACGGCCCGTCGGTTTGACCTAGAGACTTCGGGGATTCTAAAAACGGAACCGCAAACAAAAATACGTCCAAATGTTTGTCCCCCGACAATCAGTATTCCGTTTTTATCTGTAGGTCGTATATTATTAAATCCGAATCGATTCCGAAGTTAAACAAATTAAGGTTGTTGTTGTTGTTGTCGTCGTATTATATCCGCGATGTTCGTGTTTTGGGCCATCGTCGCGTTTCTGGTTTTGTTGTTATTGTACGGTTGTATGCAGGACAAAATTAAAACGCGCGAAAGGTACCTGGAGTACGAGGCAATCGATGGGTATATAGTCGTAGGTACGTACTATCGGTGTCGACATATAAAAGAAGAGCGTTGACCATTTTGCCATCTTTAACGTAATTTTGATTTGAAACTTGACCGCACTACTAGCAGAGCATATTATTTCGTCAAAAAATATACAGGGTAAGTCAACGACGGAGTAGGGTTCATTATCTCCTTGGTATCGAAAGTTGCGAGAAAGAACATTACGATAGCGCCATTGTTCATTTGATATGAGTGTTATTCAAATATTACGTAAAAGATATAGGCAACGGAAATTTTTAAAATGAAAAATCTCGTGTTCTTAAATGGCACACCATATACGAGGTGTCTTCAAAAAGTAAGGCGACTGTTGTTATTTCGCAGGCTACGTACATTCGATATATTTTTCGTTATGTTGGTACACATGTCTCTAAAATGTGTTCACAGTTTCAGCCAGTTTTTTTGTGAGACAGATGCGTTAGACGTTTTTTGCGTGCTCGGCGATTTTCTGCTGTCAAAAAAAATGGAACAAAAAGTTTGCTTAAAATTTTGCAAAAATCTTCTGAATGAACTTATGAATCTACTTTAAAGAAAAAAAATGTTTCTAAGTTGTACAAGCTATTCCAAGATGGCTAGGACGGCTCTCTCTGGATGCCCCAGCATGTCAATAACTGAAGAAGTGAAACAAATGGTGTTGAAAAATTGTCAAATTACTATTAGAGAAGAGGTTGAAGACGTGGGCATTTCTACTGGCTCGTGCTATGCAATTTTTTCTGAAGTTTTAGGCACGAAACGTGTAGCACCAAAACTTGTTCCGAACAAAAGGACTGTCCAAGGCGCATCAAGAGTAGTTAAACGATATCAATGATGATCCTGACATTCTCAAATGAGGAATCATGGGTATATGGTTATGACGTCGAAACTAGTCGTCCCAATGGACAAGGTTTTGTTTAGTGTTTTCATTGACTATATTATTTCTTTGATGATTGCTTGTCTAACTTTTTGGCTAAAAACAAAACCACAATCATGCCACAGCCACCATATTCACCGTATATACGACTTCCAAAACTCAAGAAACCCATGAAAGGAAAGAGGTTGAAGAGGTAAGGAAAAAATCGCTGGAAGAACTCAAGGCTATACCAGAAACTGCTTACCAAAAATGCTTCGAGGATTGGAAAAAACGTTGGCAAAAGTGTATTATATCTGAGGAGAACATGAATTTTGATAAGTAAATAAATACTTTTTGATAAAACTTAAAAGTCACCTTACTTTTTTAACACACCCCGTATATCATTATTATTTCTGAAAGGTCTCACCAATAACCTACAACATTTGTTAAGTTGCCGAATGGAACATAGGAATTTCCATGTAAATTTTTAGGTGCCCAAATATTGGGTCCCCTGTACATATTATAGGAAAGTTATAATACAATTTTTTGAAAGGGCCGGTATGATTAAATTTTAATAAGCCAATTTTCGGTTATTAAGTATGATGGCAAAATTACAAAAGTCAATACAACAAACAGCAGCGAATACTTTCCATGACGCTATTTCCTAAACTTCGTCAACGACAATGACATATTAAATAAAGGTTGCTTTACAATAAAGACGTGTACACTTGGTTTCAGACATTCAAAATAAACTAAGCATGTAGGTTTATCATTATGTTTTTGTTAGGATCAATCTCCTACTCGAAAGCTTCAAGCAATGGCAATAAATTTGACCCTCAAGTCTTCTATTAAAAAATAATTATAATTATAACAAAAATAAAGCTACAGAACATTGGTAAAAAGATACATTATTTTTTAAGTAAATGTTTATATAATCCTCCGTTAATAGTTAATCAATATCCTATTCGATCATAAAATTAATTTCTAACATTGCTTAGTTCGTATTGTGAAATCCTGTCACATTCTAGCGAAATAGCGTTTTGTAACTGAATAAAATTTTCAAATTTAACATTCTTATAGACAACACTTTTCGAGTGACCCCACAGAAAGAAGTCGTTCTGCGAGAGGTCAGGTGACCTGGGTGGTAAAAGGATTTCCTAAATACTCCGAACCATACGCGAATTAGGGGTGGGATACATCCATCGGTTACCAGATCTCCTTATCTTCGCGAACAAACTTCTTCTAGTACGGGTAGAATTTGATTTGTAATATGTCAAAATAGGTTTCTGGCGTGAGGTCCATAATTCCGACCATAACATTTATTTTTTGAAGGTATTGGCTTCGAGCATGAACAAAACGGCATTCATTGTATTTGCTTCCCTATTTGCTTTCTCCATCATTTCAAAACAAAATGCTATTATACTTTCTTCATCGCCTTCCCGGAGTTTTCTGTGTGCTTTTCGTATTTATGAGTAGTAATCATTTTGTTTTCCTCCGCATGCAGTAAAATTTTCAAATCTCTATTGTCCCTTTCTTCTGCTTTATTATCGACATTTTCAGTTGAACATTTGCAGTTATTTATTACGGTGCCTTTGGAATCGAATTGGGTTTAATATGTTAATATGTTTAATATGTTTAATTGTTGCAATCGAAAATATAGTTTTAGCAGGAAAATAGACTGAAAACATATCAGACACTAAGACTGTTTCCTGCATGATACCACTTAATAATGGTTGCGTTTTCTTCAATTCTATCTATTATATCTAGCTGTAATTAAAGCGAGTTTAATAACGTATAACAGTCACAAATAAAAATATTGTTAATGTCACTAATTGTCGTGGTGCCGTTGTCAAAATGGATTTCACTGGTGTTTCCACATTAAAGATATAAAGCCTTTCATCGCAAAATACACTTCACCACAACCTTCCAATAGGAATAAGTCTGAAAGCAATCCCACAATTTCTGTTGTCCTTCCTAACCAAAAATTTCTCAACATCTTTGATAAATCAAAGACAAAATTCCATTTGAGATGCCAGGAGCTTACAGCATTCCATGCATATACGGCAAAGAATACATTGGAGAGACCAGACAAAAGATATCAACTGGAGAGAGAGAGAGAGATGTTGACAGAAAATTATGAAATTTTAAGGTATCAGTAATTTTGGCATGCTGAATCTGATTCTATAATTATAAATGTAAAATTTTGCTCAGGGGCGTAACTTCCGAGAGGTACAAGTAACGAAAACTGCAATAACCTTTTTGCAGGTTGACTTTTAGCAATTTTTCTTATAAAATCTATGTTCCGTAACGAGAAAAAGTCATGGATTTCAAAAATACAATGTTTAGCATGCCAGGACAGTCTGTATATGGCATTGACGTTGGAATGTTATTATATATTATTGTTATTTTAATACACAGGCGTATCTGCAGTGTTGTTTTTCTCCGCTGCCATTTTTCTCCAATTTACATAAAAAATAAATTTAAATGACTCGCTTGGAAAATTAACAATTCTCTTTTTAACGAAATAAATTCTTCGCGATTTATTTCAACTTTTCCAATATTTACGATTCTATAGTTTTAGTTGGCTATGACAAAATTATATTGTCAAAATTTTCCCTTACAGCTAAACATGGGTATCCAAGTAGAAGGGCATATTTTTGAATATTTATTGTGCCATAATAATAACTGAAAATCAAATAAGTTAATTTGTAATATGTAATGGGTAATAGTAGTAGGTATTTAATATAATTAACTTTTTCTGTGTGATTCAAGTGTTCGTTATTTTCGCAAAAATTGCTAATAAATGTCTGTGGCTTTATCTTAATCTTAACAGAACCATATTGGCTAATATAAGTTTTGTCATGTCACCCTAATATTAGAACAATAGAAGGGTAAATATAGGAAAAGTACAAATAAAACTTTAAAATAATTTTACCACCCTGTATCTCAAAAGTTAAGACGTTTAGAACAAATGAATTTTTCTATTTAAAATAGACCCAAAAATTGTCCCCTTAATCGAAAATTTTCAATTGAAAATGATTCGTTTATTTTGAATAGCCTAATTGAAATTCCGTTGCATGTATATGAAATCCGAGCGATGTACCTTAAGAGATAATAGCGCTATCTTAATGTTTTTCCCAAAAATTAGTATCTTTTTAGAAAAATTAAAATAGTTGAAAAACTAGTAGGTTTGGGTATGTATTACTATTAATAAAAAAGAAGAATTTTAAAACGAATTCGAACCCTAATTTTAATGTTTTATTCCTTACGCTTTTTTGAGTCACCCCGTATCCTAACGATCTTTACCACTTTTGCCTTTACCGTTTTCTTATAACTTTCGGAACCAATGAGATCGTGAACTTTACCGTATCATTGACTCACCCCGTATACTCGAATATTATGATGGACTAGTTTTATACGTTTTCTTTGTTTTTAAAATCCTTAGGCAATTGTGTTTGTCATCCTCTCATGAAGTGGGAAATTTATATTTTCGCATTACCGACATTCAGGTTTTCCCTAACCAAATATTTCATAACGGCAACAATGCGACAACGCAAAAGAATTTCGTTTGGCAAATATGGCGAAATTCCAGATTTACGCAATGTTTACGCTAATGAAGTTATGAAATTACGATAAATGAACCTTGACAAGCACCAGATGACTTCCTTAATGAAGGGGAAACGCATTGCAGCAACCTTTTCCAATTTTGTATTAAAATCGTTAAATTAAATCGTTGCTTTCTCGATTACCCGCTATTTCGTTTTTTCTCCTATATCGAATGATTTACGAATTCTTTTTTAACCTGGAAGTGCGTTCCGCAATTCTTTATGACAATAATAGGCGATTCGAAAACAAGGCTGATGTAAAATGACGTCAATGCGACAAATATTATTACTGTCCCTATTTTACTTCTAATGCTTTTGGGTTTTACGTACTTATACGTTGGTTTTTTATACTTGGCGTATTACCTTTCGGGAATGGAGCCACCAGAGATGGTCGAAAAGGAACTTTTTCTACTCCAGCCTGCAAAATACCTAATTACATACCGATCTAGAGTGCGGGAAGCGTCACTTTACCACGTCAGTTGTGTTTCCCACGGATCCGAGCCACTTCGGACATTTCCGGGATTTTATCGCACGGATGTTT